AGGCCACATACAGGCCACATACAGGCCACATACAGGCCACATACAGGCCACATACAGGCCACATACAGGCCACATACAGGCCACATACAGGCCACCATCCCATTCATCCATCTGCGTTTGCTCCTGGCTGGAAGGAACAACGGTGTTGTTGGTGCTCAAGAAGAGCCAGCAGCCAGCAGCCAGCAGCCAGCAGTCGTTGACCAACTGCAACAGCCAACAGCCAACAGCCGTTGACCAACTGCATCTCCAACAATGCCTCTCGCAACCATCCACCTCATCTCGCTGACGGCAAGCAGCAGCATCGCATCGTTTATCGATTCGCTCCGATCGACAGGCTTGCAAACGCTGGTGGTCAGCAAAGTGGTGCGGTGGATCATCACGCCCAGCAAGAACGACGTGCACGCACTCCTCTCGCCCCCGAAGCCATGGGACCTCCTGGTGATCCTGCTGGGCGCGGACACGGCGGCGCTCCCAGCCTCGGTGGCAGCGCAGGTCGAAGGCCACTGGACGGTGACGACGGGGATTCCGTCGCGACTGACGAGCGACTTCGCCCGCACGAACGCGGCCATATTGCATCCCGACGCGGCGTCCGTGCCGCCGTTGACCGGGGCGTTGGATCAGCCTCGCTTTGGTGACACCGCCCAGACGCTCGAGCTGTCTCGTGAGCTGGCTGGCTGGATCCGTGGGTTCGCCGCCACCCGCGCCGGTAAGAGCCCGTTGTCCATGTTGAACCTGTTGGCCTTCCGGCCGGGCTTGAAGCCGTCGTATCTACGTTACGGCAAGGCCTTCGCCGAATCCATTGGCCGCAGGCGTGGTGGTGTCGCCAAGCTCGTGGGGAATGTGGTCGCGACAGCCCACACATCTCAACCTGACCAAAAATCTGACCAAAAATCCGGTACTGCTGGTGCTGGTGCTGCCTGGGATGAATTCGCCCTGGCGTCGTACCCGTCCATCCTGCATTTCGCAGACATGCTCGCCAGCCACGACTACCAGGCCGTCAACCTCGGATATCGCGTCCCTGCGTTGGAGGATACGTTTATTTTGTGCACGAGTGAGATCGAAGTCGAGGATTTATTGGCGGGGAAGCAGCATCCCGGCGGAGGCGGAGGCACGGCGAAGTTGTGAAACGGGAGTCAAAATCATGCTCAAGTCGGATAGCAAAGAAACAGTAATGGCCCAAACCGCTGTCTTGAGAATGAGAGAGAGACCTTTGACTAGTTACTCTGATGGACAATATCTCATGATCGAGGCATGACTGCACCTCAACATTGGAAATGGTTGATACTGGTACTGGTACTGGTACTGGTATTGCGTCCAGCGCTGAATCTATCCATTGTACTGCTGGTACCTTGCTATCAAGATGCCCATATTGGTGTTGGTGTTGATGTTGAAGTTAGTGTTGAAGATAGTGTTGAAGTTAGTGTTAATGTTGGTGTTGATGTTGGTGTTGGTATTGGTGTTGATGTTCCTTCTCACAAACCTGAGAATTACCATGTGCCTATGTGTCCCGCATACAGATATCCCAGGGCGGGAGAGCCAGCTCCCCATCCTCCCACCCTACACAGTCTCTGATGGGAGACTTGCTGCACGGTGAGTCGCAAGTGCTCTTGTGCCGATACAGCTCGAACTCGGCGGATCTGAATCTTCGGGCCCTATCCCACCAATACCGGCGCCGATCGACAGGCAAGTCCATCAGGTCGAACAACTCTTTGAGAGAACGCTGCTTGTCCCAAAGGATGCCGGGATACTTCCAAGCCTGCTCGAAAGTCAGTAATTGCTTCGAATAGTCACCTTGCTTCTCGATCACCTTCTGAATGAACGGAGCGGGCAGATCTCTCTGGCACGGGGCCTCGTTGGCCTTGCGCTCCGCGGCGCGCACCAGCGCCGTCACAAACAGAACCCACTCGTCAATGTCCTCGACCGAGAGCGTACCATGGTGCTGCCGGAACTCGATCGTCTTCTTGGCCTCCGCCGGATCCCCTGCAAGCGGGACAATGTTGGCAAAATTGACAAAGGTTTTTCCCGTCGGCATGCCGTACAGGTTGCCCATCCTGGTGCACAGCAATTCCTTCAGCAGTCTCCGATCAATTCGGTCATCGCAGTACTCGAAATTGAAGATTTTGATAAACTCTTCTTGTGGAACCCAGGCCGGTCCCTCGGCGCAGGCGTGGAGCGAATGCGTGGGATCGTTCCTCCCCAAAAACACTCGATTGGGCTGGGCATTGGTCCAGATTTTGGTGTCGCGGTAGCCGTGCCGTTCGGGGTGATGCAGAAGAGTGATGGCATCCTCAAACGCGAGGCAGATCCATGCCAGGTGCCTCAAGACATCCAAGGGAATGTCGACCGAGGCGCCGTCGGCCGTCGGCGGGACCCCGATGTGCACATGGACGCTGGAGTTTTCCGGCACGGCATTGACGAAGCATGGCCCACCTTGTTCCTCTGTCACGTGGCTGAGGAATTTGTTGACCTCCGCGAGTCCATTGAGTTCGAGGCCGGTGTCAGTCATCTCAGGCAACCGCAAGATCGGGCTGACCAGTTCCAGACCGGAGAAAACACAGTTGTTGCGGCGGAGAAACTTGCCGTTTGTCAAAGCCGACAACTCCAAATCTGACTGAGGATGACGGACCATTTCCTCTCGCGTCAAAGCCCAGCGACTGAAATCCTCCTCATCCGTCTTTGGCTCGGATCTGACCAGCAGATCAACCCCCTTGCGGCGAAACACAGAAGCTGCCTGGAAGATTCTTTCAATATCCTTTCGAGCGGGATCGCAAACGTCCATACATAGTATTATTTCATCGATCTGGTCATCATCGTGGATGATGGCGTTTTCTTCGCGAAGGTGGTCGTAGGCGGGATTGGAAGCAAGCTGTACATTGTCAATGCCGAACAGAAACTCAATTTCCACACCAAAGGTGATGGGCAATTTAGTCGCCATAACGATTGTAGTGAGGGAGTTAATGGGATCTTACCCGCTGTGATTGGACGGTTCTTTTTTTCTCGGACTGTTGAGCTTTCCTGGAGTTTGAATGGAAGGATGCTTTTACTGAGTCTGAGTGGAATATAATAATATATATAGAAAAATAGATTCGATCGTCTGCCTCATCCGAGTACAGCCTTGTTCCATCAGAACAATAACGGTGCAAAGCAGACTGGAGTGTCGAACAAGGGGCCTTGTAATCGACTTTGTTTGGTTAAAGAGTAAATCTTTGGTCCAACCCGAAAAACAAAGAACTGACAAAGGAGTTCGCTTTGAGAGTGCCTGACTACTGAGAGCATTGCTAGACGATAGCAAACAACGCCCCATGGAGTGACCGTCAGGCTTCACTGTCTTGGGCCCAGCTGCGACCTTGATAGGCAGTCGGTCCAGACCTGATAGGCACCTTGGAGTGGCTGAAGAAAGACCCTGGGATTCAGCAGCAAACGGTAGATGAGAGACAAAGGACCAGCCCCAGTAAGTGGGAGAGTACCGTTTTCAGGCTGCAACCCATCTGCAAGGCACGACTATCTCCTTCTGGCCATCAGCGTTTCGTTCGGGAGTTTGGCGAGACCACAATGCACTCATGAAGAAGACCATGGCATTTATGTATCATGTGAACCCTCTTCCACCACAATTGGTGCATACAAAGTAGCATCCGCGTCATGCAGCTGACTGGATTGAGCCACCACATCCAGACGTCAAAAACGGTGTCTTCGGTGTCCATTGAGTTTTGAGGCCAGAGCGGCTATGGCAATTGACAGCTATTCTTCGTTTGAGAGTCGGCACCACAGCAGAACACGGGTTCGTCCAGAATAGGAACGGCCATCGACCGCCGCAGTCGTAACTAGACCCTGACGACGAGATAATATGAGGAACGTGATGCATGACGGTTCGATATAGGCGTCAAGCATTTGCAACCACTCGTCGAGGAACCAACTGATCCAAGATGCCCGGCTTCAAGCTTAATTGGGTTTCGATCTCGCTGGAAGACTTTCCCGCCTCGTCTCGCAGAGCCAAAGCCTCTTTCACATCCTTTGCACTCACGACCGTTCTACCCGCAAAGCCGCGTCTTCCTTGGTTGTCCAATTCGGATTCCCAGCGTCTGTTGATCCTCTCGCGTGCCTGGACGAGCATAATGGCAGGGTTCTGGGCCGAGGTGGGGAAAATATTGCGGCCCTGCTGCATGGGCTGGCTGGAGGTGGGAAACGCATCTTCGACTGGTCGGTCCTCCGAGGTTGACGCCGGTTTCGCGGGGCCTAAGCTGCGCAGGACGGAGTCGAATTGAGGATCTCGTCCGTCGAGATCGATCTGTTCAGACCTCTCTGCCGCAGGAGGCGAGGCTGCTGGACTGGGACGGACCTGGACCTGGGCCGGGGCCGGGGCCGGGGCCGGGGCTGGGTTCGTGGATTTCAGAGGTGCATTGGACGTCGAAGGGCCGGTGTTCGTGATGGAAGACGTGGATGGATATTGACGGCGAGCTGCCCCGGCGGCTCTGCCTGCGACTTTGGAACTGGAGGAGCCCATCCGGTGTGCGGCGAGCAATGTGCGGCGGTTGTATTAGTTTAGTCAAGCAAAAGACTCGCCGAAAAATCAGACAACAGAGCCCACGGTTCAGTTTGGCAAGAAACAGAAGGCAAGGCACTGGTGGGAGGCATAATGTAGGACGATGATGTAAATTAGAGATGTCTAACCACTAACTGTAGTTGACTGCGTTTTGGAGCCCGTTTGGCCAATAGGGTCAGGTATCAGTGCGCACTGTAACAGTATCCGTAACACCTCCACCGACACCACTGTCTCGCATGTCAATCAAGCGTCAGTCACCCTCGGGATCTTGGGAGAAGCCGACTTTGAAGGTGACAGGAGTTCCGCTCTCCTGGCCGCCGTGGTTCCCCCAAGGGAAACTGAATATACCAAAACCGAAAGCAGCCAGTTCCCTGCACCCACCGCTTCGACCCAAACCAAACCAAACCATGGAACGCAAGAACAAACCCGCCTCCCTGCCAGTCTCGCCACAGATTGCCCAGCCGGTCGTAGATTTGAGCGACAACGTGCTCACAGCGCGGTTACCCAGTGGCGATGCGGTGACGGTGTACCTGTACGGGGCGACGGTGACGTCGTGGAAGACGGCGAACGGCGAGGAGCAGCTGTTCGTGTCGCAGGCGGCGGCGCTGGACGGATCGAAACCCATCCGTGGCGGCATCCCGCTGGTGTTCCCGGTGTTTGGACCTCCTCCGAAATCGCACGCCACGGGCCAACTGGCACAGCACGGCTTCGCCAGGAACAGCTACTGGGAGTTCCTGGGCAAGAGCAGCAGCGAGAGCCAGGGCCGCAAGGCCGACAACAGTGTCAAGTTGGACTTTGGCCTGAGCAGTTCCATGCTCGACGAGGCCGTGCGCCGCAAGTGGCCCTACGAGTTCGGGCTCGTCTATAGTGTCACGCTGGAGAAGAACTCGCTGGAGTGCCAGCTGCACGTGCAGAACAAGGGCGACCAACCGTTCGACTTCCAGGCTTTGTTCCATACGTATTTGGCCGTCAAGGTAAGATTACCACACCCAAACTGCAGTGGGTCGACATACAGAAAACAAAAGGCCATTCATGACTGACAAGACACCACCGAATTGCACAGGACATTAGCAAAACCGCAGTCAAGGGCCTCCAGTCCTCTCCGTACGTCGACAAGGTCCGGTCCGCCCAGACATTCACCGAATCCTCGCCCTCCTTGACCTTTTCGTCCGAGACCGATAGAGTATATACGCCTCCTTCCCTGAAAGACAATACGTTGGTGCCGCTGGTGGTAACGGAGGATGGGGCCGAGAGATTCGTGGTGACGCGCGACGGTCTGCCCGACGTGACGGTGTGGAACGGGTGGGTGGACAAGATCAAGGCCATGGGCGACTTCGAGCCCAAGGATGGTTGGAAGAGGTATTTATGCATCGAGCCTGGTACCGTCAGTTCATGGACCAGACTTGAGGCCGGCGATGCCTGGGAAGGCACTTGTGCCTTTGAGAGTAAGCTGTGAGTGTGCGTGGGGGCACTTGTGCCTTTGACAGTAAGCTGTGAGTGCGCGTGGGGAGGATGCCGAAGGTGCAGGTGTGTTGGGGCGTATGATGCCGTGATGATGCATTGGGTGCGGACGAGAAAGAACTGACGATACTACACTGGGTGGTCTAGTAGAGCATTGACGATACTAGAATACGGCATGGCATAGCAAAAGGGGATTGATGCTGATGCCGACGCTACTGCACTGCATGCCCCCCGAGTCCAGAAGACAGCATCAATGGATACCATGCCACTGCAGCCCGGTATGAGTTTGAGTATGAAATGACATGAACATGATGATGATGCTCATACTGATTGATGTCTGCCCACTGGCATGTTTCTATTTGCTTTATGATATGTACCTAGGTATGTCCATGTCCATGTCCACGTCCATATCCATGGAGTACACAGACCTTCCCATGCGTTTTGGCTGTGTTTTCTTACTTTCTTGCTTTCTTTGGGCGGGATATCCAGCAAAGCTCCTGCACCGACGTGCCATGCCATGATATGACTCGCGCCATGGTTCCAGTAGGTAACCTAATGATTCACAATAATCAAGACACTCTGGAGCGGAAGAAATGAGATGCCCAAACGCGTGCCAGTCGACTTCGGACTCGTACTGTCCCATTGTAATGAATAGATCGCAGAGACCTGCATCAACTTGCCAGGCCCACGGATATTGGAGCGGCAGGTGCTGGAGGACGCAAGACAGAAGATTTAATGCACTGGTAAGCTGGGATATGGTCATGATTGACCGAGAATATCCGCAGAGCCAGTAGCTAGGGCCTTCTCGGTAGATATGGATTCCGCATGCACTGGGATCTTCCCTCATAGACCGACAACGAGCCCCAAACTCGCTTGTTGCACGAGAATCGAGTCGAGACAGGCTGAGTCATACCAGAAGGTTGTGGAAGCCCTGGACGACACGTTGTACATTGACAGAGACGAGAGCAGGGTCGTGGAACGGCCAGCCTGGAAAAGATTCGGCGCGAACGTTGGGCTCTATACTCGCGGTGACCCTGGTGTCGTCGCCGACGACGCGGAAGTTGAAGTCGACGCAGCTGTTTCTGGCGCCGCTGGTTCCGACTTTGCTGAGCCCAGAATCTTCTTGGCCTCTTTGGATTGGAGATAGGCCTGATGTTCCTCATCTGAACAGAGAAACAGGCGAGAAGCCGTCAGTACAGAAATCAACCAGCGAACTACAGCCGCCAAAATTGATGGCTTGTTGGATTTGGAACGAAAAGGGGAGATGTGAGAATCAGAGAGCACTTACATCTCTGCCACAGGAAATAACTGGTTACAATCGCAAACGGCAGCGCGACCATGAGACTTGTCCAGCGTCTCGAGAGCGCACGGAACTGCGGGTCTTTCTTGAGCTGCTCGAGCGGAATTTCCGTTGGGCGTGGCCGGCGTGGCTCGTTAGCTGATCCGACTCCCAATCCTTGTTGGGACCTCCTTGACGAAGCTGGGGGGAGGGTTGGCCCGTGTGTCGACGACGACCCTGAAGGTCTTTGGGAGTGGACATTGCGAGCAGCCAGGGCGGCGACGGTAGAATTAGGAAGAACGTATTTAGGGGTGACAACGGCAACAGCGGGAGATCGATGCTTGCCGGAGGAGCTGGAGCTGGAGCCGGAGATGGCTGCCACCACAGGGGGAGGCTGCGGCGGCATCTGAACTGATGGCAAAGGATTGCTGTTGAATGGTCCGTCGAGACGCGAGGCTGTGGCCGTTGGGGCCGCTGTTGCTAGATGTGGTTTTGCTAGTGGTTCTGAGGCTGCTGATGTGATCTCGGATTCGTTCGGGGCTGTTGTTGTAGCAATTATACCTTCGACAGGAGGTCGCCGCGAAACGCTCTCTTCGGCCACTTTCTGCTGCTGAAGTTCTTGCCGGCGAGAGACGTGCACAGCTTCCCGATCTTGTACGAGCTGCGAGGCAGCGTCGTGCACTTCAGTCGAGGTTTTCGCGAATGCCTTGGCCTGCTGCAAGATCTTGGACAGCGACATAGAGGGTCTCAGATCTGGCCGACCAACCGCCGGGGACTCTGCTGCTGCTGCCGTCGCCAGCGTTGCGTGAACTGACTTTGACTTTTTGAGAGTCGATGCAATAGCAGGCTCTTCCACATTGCCAGTGGTAGAGGCTTTGCGACTCTTGGATTTCAAGTTCACCACTGGCTGTTTCGTCGCTGACGGCTCAATGGTCTCTGCTGCTGGAGATGTGGACGAGGACGAGGATGTGGAGGAGCCCTTCGCCGTTCTCGCCTTGGTGGACGACGTGGCCTGGACAGCCGGCACTGCGTCAACAACAACATTGTCCTTTGTAAGGTCGGCAGCCTTTCGTGTCGCCGACGACACCGACGACGACGACTTCTTGGCCGAGGCGGCCTTTGCCCGGGGTTTCGGCACGGGCGCTTCGATCACAATGACATTGTCTGCTGCGGTGGCACTGGCGGCGGCCTTCTTGGGCGGGCGGCCTCTTTTCTTGGGGGTGGCTTCTGCCGACATGCTCAAGGGCTGTATCCACGAACCAGGAGGTCTGCGTATACCCAGGGAATTGAACTGTGTGCGTTGGAGGACTGATCCCTGAGTCTGATTGCCACTGTAACGCGTGAGAGAGGCTCGACGCGTAGAGGGAGAAAAGCGCCGTAGCCTTGAGCCGGGGTCTTAATTATTAGGGTCCTTAAGCCCAAGGCAATTTCGCGGTCTGGCAGCGGGGCAGCGCAGCGCAGACAGCAGACAGCAGACAGCAGACAACAACCGCAGCTCACATCGCCCAGAACAACATCGTTCAGGGGGTCTGCCCTACACACATCCTGGAACCCGCTTACTGTGTCATCTTCGTCCAAACGCTACACGCTGTACGGAGTATCCGTGCCTACCTATACACAGCTAAGTACCGTACTACTGTATCCGTACCCGGCAAGCATGTCCATTGTCCAGGGGAAACATTCGCCGGCTGGCTTGCTCATTCATTAATCACCGCTAAGGACAAAGCTGCAGAAACATGCTCCTATTGTACACCCTCGTTCGAGCCCAGCCCGCTATGCCTCGTATAAAACTTAGAGGGACGTTCCGGCCCGCGTTTCTATCCATGGATTACTTTTGGTCCCTCTCCTCGGGCAGAAACAAAGACCATCAAAACAAAAGAAAAAGGTGTTGGTGTCGCTTGACCTTCAAAACTCCCAGCCTCATCACTACTAGTACCCTCGCGACCGCCGCGACGCTCTACCCGCACCATTCTTGCGGTCGTCGATGTTGATGATGGTCCCTGGGCCCGGTGACTCCCCCAGCAATCCTCGGGGGTCCACTCGGAACCGCGAACTCTTCGGCCGGCTTGGTGAAGAAAGCCGCCGTGGTTGAGAAGTGGCCGGATCGTAGTCCTCCACGAAGCTGACCGCGTTTGGGCTCTCCAGTCTTTGAGAGATCTCGGGCGTCCCGTTGGTAGAAGAGTAATTGATCCAGCTGTCTCTCTGTCGTTTCCGGGTGCTCTTGGTTGGCGGCTGAACCGTAGGTGTCGCTCGGGCCGGAAGTAGTAGGCCAAATCCGCTGGGCGAGCCATTGCTCTCTCCAACTTGATACTCGTGGCCGTGCATGCCATGATCGGGCCCTGCTGCCTGTGGGTGATAATGCCATTCTTGCTCCTGTTGGCGATCTTCGACCTCCATCAGCAAGGCATGAATGTCATCGAAAGTCATATTAAAACTCCATGCTATTCCCTGGGCGGATGCTCGCTTGCGAATGTCCGTCAATGCCTTGTGGTCATCCCGGAGGCGTTCCTCGTATGTTCGCTTAGCCGGCTCGGACGAGGGCATCGGCTGTTGATAGAGACCATTTGCATATTCGTTGACGCCGAGCCGTCGTTGTACAGATCCATTGCTTGCTAGAGTTCCAAAGTCGCTCGCAGTGCGTAGGCTGCCTGTTGCAGGAGTAGCGTAGCGTCCTCGCGTGGCATCCACATTGGTCGGGCTTGTGAAGAGTTTCGACAATTTCTCGGCATCCGTCGCTCGGAGAATGGTATTGACCGGTTGCGAGAGCAGCTGCGTCTCGGCCGCGGCGGGCTCGGTCAGATCAATCGGGTCCAGTTTGGTGCCTCGAGAGACTGTGTTTGGTAGAAGGGCTCGTGCAAGTTCGTTGGTATTGACCTGGTGGTGGTGGGTGGGAAGAGGCGGGAGGTTGTTGCACTGGCACCAGTTCTTGGTGTATGAGCGCCAGTCTTGGGCGCCTCCAGGCACGACCTCTTCTTCATCATTCGAATCCGGCATCAGTTTGGCGATTTCGGCAAAGGCGAGAAGTCGAGACCAAGGAGGAAGACAGGACAGACCACATGACGCTTCCGCTCTGGGCTCGTCCCGTGCAACCACCGTGTTGGCCGAAGCGGCTTGATCAGGCTTCGGGTGACGCCTTGATCTTCTCCTAGGTGCCTTGGAACCAGAGTCGTCCACTCTGCGGCGTCGACTGGGCTCGAGAATTTCGGACAGCCTCTTAGACTTCAGTACCACCACTTTAGACTTCCTCTGGATCGGGGTTTCCGGGATCTCGGCCTCTCTCGCATCATCCGCTTTGGTGGGCGTGGTTTTCAAGACGACAACCTTGGACTTTTTGCTGGGCGGAGTGTCGATGATGTCGACCTGTTCGGCATCGTCGGGTTCGTTGTGTGAGGATGATATAGAGTAGCGGAGCTTTGATGGGACTTTGGCCCCACTGTACGAGATTCTCGCAGACTTGCGAGGAGGAGCCTCCTGAGCATCAGCAGGAGGCGCCGGGCGTTTGTGAGCCGTTGGGGAGGTCGACAATACTTTGGCAGTGGGTTTCCTTTCCCGTCGCGACACTCGGCGAGGCGATGACTTTGTGGCGGCAATCTCAACCTCATCCTGGCCGTCTTCCGCTTTAGGCGGCGGCGTGGTCCCATTGACTCGGCCTACAGCTGGAGTCTCCGGGGTTGGCGGTTCCAATGAAGCTTCCTGGGAAGTCTCGGTGATGGTCCCTGGAGTGGTTGACGGCTCCCTACGATGAGGGCGGTGCCTGGGAACCGAGGGTGAACTAACCACGATGGTGTCTGAGAGCGGCGGCGAGTAGGTTTTGCCGCCGTCCAGTGCCTGGGCTTTGGCGGTCGGTTTCCTAACGCGGCCTGAGGCTCGTCGGTGGGCAGAGTCTTCGGCCGGGGAGGAGGTTGGAGCTGTAGACTTGGAACTCATGGTGGCGGATGACACAGTTCGCGGAGCCGAAGCTCCCAGGGAACCATCAGGATCGCCAACGGAGGTTGCGAGATCCGTGGAGGGATGGCTGTCGGTGGGCGAGAGCGTCGGACTGCGACTGATCGAGCTCGTGGATGAGGCAGAAGCCTCCAGGCGCTTGCGGTAGGTGCGTAGGCGCGTCGAAGGGGTTGCTGGCCGCCGTAGGTGTGCTTGGGCTTGGGCTTCCAAGGACATGGCCAGTTCGGAATCACCAAAGCCGCATCCGGAAGAGCGAAGCCAGCCCCGGGCTCAGCATCAGTCGGGCCTAGGTGCGGTCTGGCTGCGTCTGATCTCTGGATGGGCGGCACAGCGTAGGCAGATCCTCGCGCGACGAGATGGCGGCTGGACGACAAGACAAGAGACAAGAAACGGCGAGACAAGAGACGACGAGGCGAGGTGGCTCTGCCCGTTGTGCGCCTTCCTTCCGAAAAGAGCTTAGTGCCGCTCCGGTTTTGGAGCCAGCAAACGATCGAACGATGTCTCAGCCTCTCCAATGCCTGCTGCTTGCTGCTGGCTGCGGGCTGCGGGCTCGGTGAAGCCTGCTCAAGCGTCGAGGTGCCTGCGGGCTCTACATACAGTATGTATAGTATGTGTAGTAGTGTCTGTCTTACCTGTTGGTGGTGGAGACGGAGGGAGGTGCAAGACAGACCAGGACGGCAAACAGCCAGCAAACAAGCACCTGCACTTTGTTCCAAGATAAAGTATAAAGCCAGAAGACTCGGCCAGTCACCACACTTACAGACGGGCAAGGGCAGAGACAGACCCGGTGGAGGAGATGAGACAACTAGGGGCATCAGAGTAATTGGTTCTTCGCCATTAGGGCTCCCATCGTCTATTATCTACAACGGAGACCCCCGTCTTTAGATGTATCTGGGTGCTACAGAGAAGAACCCGCACCAGTTTGCGAGAACTCCTCGAACAAAGCGACCCCGTCTAACACAACATGCGTATATCCTGCCTCATAACTCCAAAACAACCGGGCCTCGTTGGTTGCCGAGAGTGTCTCGAAGCTCTTCCAGTCGGCGCACCTGCTGCCCAGCTTTATCAAAGTTCGCATCATCCAGCCATGCCTCCAACCCAGCCTTGACGATGGGCCAGTCAGTATCAATCATGGAGAACCAGGCGGTGTCACGCGATCTCCCCTTGTAGATGATGTGCTGTCGGAAGACTCCTTCGAAGGTGAAGCCCAAGCGCACAGCAGCACGCTTGGAAGGGAGATTGAGATTATCGCATTTCCACTCATACCTGCGGTAGCCCAGGTCTTCAAACACATGCTTTGCCAGGAGATACATGGCCTCGGTGGCCGCCTTGGTGCGCTGCAACAATGGCGAGAACAAGATGTGCCCGACTTCCACCACCCGGTTCTTCTCGTCAATGCGCATCAGCGACGCCCATCCGACCGGCTTTTCAGTTTCATTGCTGGCCACGGCGAAGAACAACGGATCTGCGGATTGCGATTTCGCCGTGACCGCTTCTGTGAAGCTTTCTAGAGATGCATATGGCTCGTCGGACAGATATGTCCAGAGGTGACCGTTGTCCTCCCCTTCGACAAGGCTATAGAGCTCGCCCGCATGCTCGGGAACCAATGGCTTGGCCGTCACGGTCTTGCCTTTCAACGTAACTTTGGCAGGCCGACGTCCTGGCGGCGTAGAGACGGCGTGGCCGATGCCCTGGTGCCACTTTGCTGTGCGCTGTTTAGTATGGAGGTTACTGTACGTCGACGAGTTCAGATAAGAGGCTTACTTTGGGGGCTAAGGCCATCAGTAGCCCTAGTGAAGGTGTGCATGGTTGCTGGCCTGGCTCGGAACCCAGCCCTCAGGCTATTCAACATAGATACTGTATATACAGTATTTCTTTGCCTGCAACTGGAAGCGTCGCCCAACACCGAGTGCGAATCAACTCGACGGTGACTCAGTGTGACTTTTCCAGTTCAAAGAGCCGTATTCATACAGCTGAATCCGCGTGTTAGAGGTCCAGCAGAGTGACGGCTATGCACAGTACAGTCCCTGTTGTTAATCCGAGTCAAAGAGCGATGAGAGGGTGAGTCAGAAGTCAGCCACTGCGAGGATGGTGAGCTCCAAGAACATATCTTGCTTGAGTGTTAGGTCCAAACTAGGACTTCGATGGGGTCCTTAGGCTTATGGGCTTAGGGGCTCGGGGACTTATGTAGGAGGCCAAGGAGGCCAAGGAGGCCAAGGAGGCCAAGGAGGCTTAGGGGCTAAGGAAGGTGCCTAAGGTGCCTAAGGGCCCCCGGACTTACAGTACCTTGCGCACCTATACCCGCCAATGTTGGACATACAGTACGGAGCGCATGCATACCAGGTACCGTCTCGGTGCCGCCCAGAGGCTCAGGGTCCTTAGGCTGTCGCATCGGCCTGCCTGGCACCTGCCTGGTATTCCATATTACAGTAGGTCTGACATACAGTAGCAAGCCATCAACTAAGACAAAGCATGAGAATGTCTAGGTACCGGTAGATCGAGCCTTGATAAGTCATCAGTTTCATATAGCTATTACAGTAGACGGGATATCTCAAGCCCTCGGGCTGTTGCAGGCTCCTAAGGCTTCTTTCCCATCAGTAATAACGTCTGAGGGCACCTGAGGAGGGCCTGATAGTGATCAAGTCCACGTGAGAACTATGCCCTTCATCGCCGCTAGCCTCCCACTCACCTTTCTTGTTTTACAGTATATGCTCATGGAATTGAATGCCCCGGTAGAGACATACAACTAGAAGTTAGTAGAAAAGACCAGAACACCACATGCTGCGAAGTCAGTTGCTGGCATGGGAGCCAGATTAACCGAGCATGCTACCCACGCAACCAACATCTGGCCAAAACTCGAAGATGGTGCTGTTGATGACGGTGCGTAGCTCACCGGGATAGATTGCAAACATTGTCATTCTCAAGTCACCATGTAGGTGACTGTTTGCTGTTGTTATCGGTGGGAAGCTCACCGCATCATCCAGGCACCTGGACATGTTGGACTACATGACAAGACTTGCTGGTTTTTTGACGGTGGGAAGCTCACCGTATGTGTGGGAGTACAGCTGTACTTGCCCCTGAATCAATGTCTAGAGTGACCGAGTGCTGTTGGTAACGGTGTTGGAGCATCACCGATCTATATATCTGGATACATCGTACCCAAAGGAGGGGGTGCTGTTGTTGACGGTGCTTAAGCATCACCGAGCCCTTGCAAGTTGTGGCGCCTAAGTTGAGGAGAGTCGGTGCATTTTGAGACTGGGTGATAAAACTTAGATGTGGACTGTTGCTATCGTAGTCGCTGCCGGTCGGTACTTTCAGCACATGTTGAATTGCGCAGAGTGTAATCAGCCGGTCTCCGGTGCCCAAGTCGCTAGCTAGCGGCGTAACAAGAAAGCCATTCAGGATTCTGCATCCGCCCTTTTGAGCCCAGTGATGGTTTCTCGGTGGTCCTTCGAGAGTTTGCTTGTGGTCACAAACATGCTCGAAATGATCCCCAGGGCACCCAGAGCGGTGAACATGATGAACATATTCCGGATGCTCCAAGCAAAAGCCTCTTTGACGGCAAGTCTTTGAGCTGGGGGGAGTGTGTGCCCGACCATGACGTTGGCACCAGCGTTCTTGCCGCGGAGGGCCTCCACAAGAGAGGCTGGCAGACCAGCTTCAATCAGGGAAGATCTTCGAAGATCCATGCTCTGTTGGAAGACGATGCCGCCGACAATGACGCCCAGAGACAACGCCATGCTCCGAATGAAGCTTTGTGTTGAAGTGGCCGTGCCGACCTCGTCTTGGTCGACCCCCTGTTGGATGGCAATCAGCGGCGGTTCAAAAAGAAGGCCAGAGCCGATTCCCTCAATGATCTCAATACCGACGATGGTGCCAATGGAGGTGTCGGGGCCCAGCAGAATGTAGAGGCCAGTTCCCAAGGTCAGCAGGACCGTGCCCAGCCACATCGAAGGTCGATATTGGCCTGTTCGATGTATGACGATGCCGTTGATGACACCAGTTCCGGCCGTGGCCACGACCAATGGTACCAGATAAACACCCGAAAGAAGGGGGGATGCCTCCTTGACACTTTGAAAGTACAGAGGCAGATAGTACTCGCCAGCAATAAAAACCTGTCCGTGGTCTTAGTCACGCTGCAGCTCGATAGAGTTAGGTTCAACTTACCATGCCATGGAAAAAGGTCACAAGCAATGTGGCAATGTTCCTCGTACCGAAGAGGGACAATGGTATGACAGGATACTTGGCCAGCTTCTTCTCGCTGTAAATGAAAACGAGGACCAGCAAGGCACCGAAGACAAGCAGACAGATGACCTTAGCCGAGCCCCACGGGTAGATGGACCCGCCCAGGTCCAGGCCTAGAAGAAGCATGACGGTGACTCCAAGGATGGAAATGCAGCCAAACCAGTCAATGGCCTTGACGCCATCCACCATTGGCGTGCGAGGATTGTGGACGTCGAGGAAAGGGACAAGAAGCACGAATGCAGTGCCGGCGATAGGCAAATTGCAGTAAAAGCACCATCGCCAGGTGGCTTTCTGGGAAAAGGCACCACCGAGAAGCGGGCCAACAGCTCCACTGAGGGCCCAAATCCCCTCACACAGACCGAGCCACAAGCTTCGCTCTCGGACACTGAAGAGGTCAGAGATGGCGACATTGACCATGCAAATGAGGCCACCACCGGCGGCCCCTTGAATGCTGCGACCGACAATGAGCATCTGCATGTCGACGGCAGCAGCACAGACAATCGAGCTGGCAAAAAAGACCACGACTGCTGCGAGAAGAATGGGCTTGCGACCCCAGATATCCGAGAATTTGACCCAGATAGGAGCAGCAGCAGCGTTTGCAATCAAGTAGGCCCCGCCGATCCAGATGTAGCCTGCTGCCGAGTGCAGCTCGGCTGTGATCTTGGGCACCGCAGTAGCCACGATGGTGGCATCGAGGGCAGCGATGAAGAGGGACAGGTACAGCGCAATCAAGATCATTGTGATCCGGAGTCTGCTCCTGGTCTTCAGCTGCGGCTGCCCAAATTCGGCCGGTGTGCCACTCTCGACCTCGACGGGGACATCTTGCGGCTCGTCAAAGGGAGTGATTACTAAAACATCCAGTTCGGGAGCCCGAGGCGCGGGGGCAGCTGGAGGCTGCTTTGTACCCATGGCTTCCGCCTCCACGTCAAAGCAAAGGATGACAGGACGAAATGCGGCGAGCTAGGCGATGATGCTGCAAGGCCCAAGGTCTGAGGCGAAATACTGGAGTACTGGAGGGGGCAATAACATAGGCCGGACAGGGAGGGTAGAGGGTCGAGGGTCAAGAAGAATGCAGAATGGAGGGTTATGTACGGATATATAGGGACGTAGGACGAAAATACACTGTAGGCCGTAAATCGTCCCTGAGTGTGGTTAGTGGGTGACTAAGCCAAAATAGGTCTAGCCTTTCGACTCTAGTAGTACTAAGAGCAACGCAGACGCCAAGACCACTAAGTTACATGATGTGTGTTTTGAATTGACCAATCAACCAACCAAAATCGCGGCTTTCTTACAGAAATTCGCAGTACGGAGTATACAGGGTATACTCTGTACTACGGAGTACTTCGCCTTCGCTCAGTAGGATGATGGCCGTTAAGCTCGGTAAGTCATCATCCTCTGAGACCTTCATCTTCGCATCCCAATTGTCAGCGCTCTTAAGTCCGCCCCAGCATTTCCGATAGAAACGATCAGAAGCGTGGCTGGAGTCAAAAATGCAAAACCGGCCGGTGTCAACCCTGGGGGGTATGCACGCCTGATTTCCCTGATTTGCCATGATTCGATTGGCCATGATCAGATAAGTAAAGAGGTCCCTCACCGGCCCGTGATCCACGGCCCGGTAAGCTGAGACCGGCGTCCTTAATGAAGAGTCATGCCCAGACAAGACAAGCGAAATCAATTGAGAGTTCAGTTCAACCGTTGTTTTCTTTAATGGTCGGTCTCTGTGTTCGTGCCGTTCCGGGATCACACACTGGCAGTGTTCTAAACAGAAACAGTGACAGTGATATATCGACATCTCGGACATTGTGCGGCCTGAACAGGACAGGGCACATGACAGCATTTAATTAGGATTTTTGTGGAATCCAGGGAGAAGCGTGCCCTGTGTTAATGTCAAGAACCTCGCAACACGACACTTCTGAAGATGTTAGCTAGCGACCAAGCGGCATACAGAGAGCAGAGCCAAAGCCGAACAATCAAATCTGTTCTTTGAATTGTTCGCTAGTTCCGCTATCTAGTGATGGAAGAGGCGGGTGCTCTGCTCAATGAATGTAATTCCCAAGTTCTCCGCTGTATCGAAGACCGCACCGTCATTCTGCGAACCTGTAGGGGCAGCAATATATTTGACACCGCTCCTGGCCGCTCGGTAAACGTTGTCGACAAATGGAAACTGCAGAAAGTTAGATTACAGCCGATCAACCAGAATGGAACAGGGACGAACAGGGTTCACAGGGTGCCAATGGAGGAGGGTAATCTAATCCTTCCAGAGGCGTGCCAGGAAACCATGTAGGGGAATGTCACTTACAAAGGCGTCACTTGATACGGCGACTTCGCTGAGCTTCGACAGCCATTCTCGGCGCTCTTCCGGGGTGAACGGTTTCGGAACAGAGCCTTCGGCAAAACTGCGCTCGTAGTCCTTGGTCTCGAATTCGCTCTGGGGTGGCACTTGGCCTGAACATAGCATATCGATGGCATTGGACTTCTCCGGTCTCTTGATACCTTTGGCCCATGATATTGAAAGAGTGCGCTCGTGGAAGCGCATCCACCAGTTATCAGCCTTGTCTCCGGCCAGTCGGGTGCAGTGGATACGACTTTGTTGACCGGCGCCCAAACCAATAACTTGCCCATTGAAGGCATAGCAGACAGAGTTGGATTGTGTGTATTTCACGGCGATCGTCGCGATAGTGAGGTCGCGTAATGCCGAGTCAGACAATTTGGGGGAATTCTTTGGGCGGATGACAGAGTTGAATGTCTTGGTGGGTGAGATTTTGACATCGTTGCGTCCCTGAGTGAGGGTAACGCCGTAGACTGTCCGAGTTTCTTGAGAAGGCGGTTCGTAGGCCTCGTCCATCTGGAGGACGAGGTACTTGCCCCCCTTTTTCTTCTTGAGGATCTCTAATGCCGCAGGTTCGTAGGCAGGCGCAATGACACCATCAGAAACTTCTCGAGAGATAATTTTCGCAGTCGGTACATCACAGGTATCGGAGAGTGCAATGACGTCGCCGAAGCTGGACATGCGATCTGCACCGCGGGCGCGGGAATATGCTTGCGCGAGGCCGGAACTCTCAATCCCGTCAATGTCATCAACCATGTATACCTTTCGTTCTGTGCCGGTCAACGGCACGCCAATAGCAGCACCGGCGGGCGAGACATGTTTGAAACTGGCTGCCGCTGGTAGCCCAAGTGCTTGCTTGAGCTCCTTGACCAGTGGCCAAGCGTTGAGGCAGTCAAGCAGGTTGATGTATCCTGGAGACCCGCCCAGAACTTTGAAGGGAAGGTTGCCATCTCGAACAAAGGCGGCAGCAGGCTTCTGGTGAGGGTTTGCGCCATAGCGTAGCGAAAGCTGTTGGACTCCATTCCCGGCATATTGCTTGCGAAAGAAATCGGCGATGGCAGCATCGTAGTCGGCGGTGTGTTCGAATGCCTTGAGAGCGTACCTCTGCCGCGTTTCTGCCGGGATGTCACCCTTCTCGAGCTCCTGCAGGAAGATGGGATAGTCATGGGGGTCGCTGAGGATGGTGACTCGGGTATGATTTTTTGCGGCAGCTCTGATCAAGGTGACACCGCCAATGTCAATCTCTTCCACGGCTTCAGGGATGGTGACGTTGACCTTGGCAACAGTGTTCTTGAACGGGTACAGGTTACACACGACGTAGTCGACTTTGTTGATGTTCTGGTCGGCAAGGTCTTTCTCGTCCGAAGCGAGGTCTCGTGCCAAGATACCTGCGTGTACTGCCGGATGGAGGGTCTTGACGCGGCCGGAGAGCATTTCGGGGGCATTGGTGATGGCGGAGACATCTCTACAAGAGGTTCAGCTAAATGTGCGGATCATGTCTGGGTGGGACAGGAGGTCATACTCGACGTCAAAGCCAGCTTCCCGGATCAGCTTTGCTGTGCCCCCGGAGGCTAAGAGACGAACATTATTCTGGATCAGACCTTTGGCGAGATCGAGAAGGCCTGTCTTGTCATAGACAGACAGGATGGCTGGAAGGAATGGTCAGCCGACTTGGGCACGAGGCACGGGGGCAGGAGGGTGTATAGGACCGGGGAGAGGATGACATACCAATTTTCTGCGAGGGCATGGTGACTGAAGCAGGGCGTCTTCATTGAACAGACGGCCTGGTTCTCTGTCGGCAACAAATTTTGGGATATAGGTAACCAACCGCCAGGCCAAGCGGGGTTCAGGCTGGGTAGTAGTAATTGGTGGTAATGGCATTAAAATGAAAATGGGTCACGAATTTTTACGGTGGAGTCTGCACTTGGATGGTCTATGCTCGACCGTACCATTGAGTATGGATCCGGGATACGGGTACAGCGTACGAGGTAAGTCGGACCACCTCGTAACGCACAACCTACGTAATGCACAACTGTTCATCATACCCACTAACACGCGTAACTACAACTTTAAGCAACTCGTTCTTAACTAACTATAGTATATATTATTCTATAACTATCTTAATATACCTATTATATCCGAGTAAACCCTATAGGACGCGATTCGCGCGTACGAACGCGGCGAATACCCCTCTCTTAACGCCGCCGCTACCGCCTTTAATATCAGCCGCTATACCTTAACGCGTCGATTAAGAGAAGGAAATACTCGTTAATAGGCTCGCGAGGTATGATAGCTCTTATCTTATACTTAAGAGTAACTTCTCGTACGATAGATTATAGACCTTAATACCGTCGAGACCTCTTCTACCTTTATATAGGTACGAGAGTTTATAGGGCTTCTCTTAATAGCCTCTAGAGAACCTTCTTTAGTCGGCTATAACTAGATTATACGCTTTCTTTAGCGTTAACTAGATAAACGATTAAAGGTAAGTCGAAAGATTAAATACCTATATATAGAGAATATCTTCTCGAGTACTCTAAGAATCTTCTTTAATTACTTTTAGCGCGTTCTTAAGACTTATAATATTCGTACGAGCGATATCTAGAATTTCGATAAATTAGGACTCGAAATAGATATTTATAATAACTAGAGAGTCTTAGAAAGAGACTTAATAAAGCGTTCTTATCGAAAGACTTTTAAAAATCGCGATTAGATTATTAACCTTAAAGCTTATTTGTTTAAGAGTACGTTAATAGACTTATTAACTATATTTAAGAGTAAAGAACTCTAGTTATTATAGTTTCTAGATAATCTTCTATCAAATTAGTATTTTATATAACTATACGAAGAACGCGTTTATCTTAAATAATATTAATATTAAGTAGCTATAACGTATATTTCTCTCATAAATCGTAAAAGATAGTATTATACGACTTCTTCTTTATAATAACGCTAAGAGTTACGTTATAATATCCTTTATATATAAGTATTATATTTAACGTGGTTTATAAGCGAGTTGGCCACCTAAGCGAGTTGGCCACTTCCCACATAGTTGCCGACCCTCTCACTTTACAACAAGATTTCTCCACGACAAATAATGGAAACCTCTTCTAATGAGACTAGGGTATTGTTGGCCATTGAAGCTATCAATCAGAATCCAAAATTCAGTGCTCGACAGGCGGCAACGATCTATAAAGTCAACCGCGCAACCCTCCAGAACAGGATGAAGGGCCGACGCGCTCGACAAGATACCCGTGCCAACTCAACGAATTTGACGGAACTAGAAGAGGAGACTGTTATCCAGCATATTTTGGACCTTGATGCCCGAGGATTCTCCCCCCGGATCGCTGACGTGGGAGATATGGCTAATGTCCTCCTGGCAGAGCGCGGTATACGACG